GATGCAGCTCGGCAGACAGCGCCCTGTCATCCCGCCAGGCACCCGGCAGCGCCGTGCGGGTTTGCCTTCTGCGGCTCTTGAGCCAAGCGCGCCGGCCGCGGGTGCGAGCGCCCGCTCCCCAAAAGCTCCTCGCTGGCCAGAGTCCCGCCGGAAAGAGCGGCCCTGGGTTGTCAGCTGCGGGGGTTAAACACACAAAGTCAGCAGCTGCCTGCGATGAGATGTCCCTAGCTCTCGTCCTTGGGCGGTGGGCTGTCTGTGTCTGGTGGCAGGAGGATTAGGCCTGGCAGGACGTTTCTCCGGAGAAGAAGCCATGGAGCGTGGCAGCTTAGTTTAACAGCAGATGCGAGCTGAGCAGCTGCTGCTGGGATCTGGATTTATTGTCTAGGTATGTGCAAACAGAGCCAAAGAGAAGCTTTGTTGTGGAAAAAGTGGTTGTGAGGAGAGTGAGATTCTTCAAGCGCAGAGTGCATGGGGGGGGTGTGCCCTGTCCTCTGAGATGTGTCTTTTCCCCTCTCTTTCCTCCCCACTCCTCAAACCTCTTGTGTCTTGGGCAAAGAGTTGTAGTTTCGATCCTGAAATCACAGGTAAATTGCTCTGCCCTGTTGTGGACTTGCTTAGCATTTCTGTGGGCTAAGGAAATGAGTTTTTAAAGCCTGTGTTATGCAGCAGTGTATGTGGAAGTGTGTGTTTTTCTGAGTGATACAGAAGCAGGGTGCTGTTTTGGGGGTGAACAGGATGGCTGGGTGCTTTTACACTTACCCAAAGAAAGGTAGAAATATGACAGAAATCACCACTTTTGGTGGGGGAGCAGTGGTGGTTTATTGTTGCTATTCCTAAACCATCCGTCTGACATCTTTGTGGCCAGAATCTTTTATTAATGATGCACACTGAATGTCGTGATGACAGTAATACTGACAGTAAGGGGCTGTTTGTTATCTCTGGTTGGTCTCCATCATGTTTTTGGTAAGTGGCCCCATTGTGCTGCATTGTGAACCACCCCTCTTAGCGTAATTCCTTTTCTTGAAAGTTCAGGCTCTGAGCTTAAGAGGAGAACTTAAGAGACCCTTAAAGAAGTAACAAAATTGAGGTTTTACAATAATTGAAAAATAATGTTTAGATATTTTGGATTTGTTTTCACAGATGGAGGAGAGAGGTGAGAAAGGGTAGTGGAACACTCTGCTTTGCTCCCACTGAAATGATGAGGATTTTTTTTCCATTGACTTCATCTGAAACAGAATTAGAGCCTAAGGCCTCAGCCGTATAGGAAAAGTTACATCTATGTAATTAAACTTGAAATGGCTTTTTTTCCCCCCCCTATTGACTTAGAGAGACTGAGTGTCTCTTGTTTTGTTGGTGTGGGATATTATATTTTTTTTTTCAGTAGAGGAAAATCTCTAGCACATTAGAAGAATTGGATTCTTTGTACTGTGGCTGAGATTAAGACTCTGTAGAGAGGCCATTGGATCAAAGCTGGCCATTTAAATCTCTGGGATAGTCTGTATCCTACTGTGCAAAAGTCCTGACATGTGTGCTGTGTGTAAGCATGGCAGCTTTTGTGTTGGGCTTTGCATTCCAGAAAAATCTTGACAAAACTGAATAGTCACAGAGAACAGAGTTGTAAGTGGGGTTTTTTGGGAGTTGTTTTTTGTTTTGTGGGGTTTTTTTAATAGTATAATGTATTAATACTGTCAGTATTACATTTTTATAAATATAAGTGTTTTATAAAAATTTTGCTCCTATAGTGAGAGGAAAACTGGTACTGTATTGTTTAGGATTTGTTAACTTACACCCTTACTCTCACACTTACTCTTCTCATATTGATAAAACTGAAGCCTTTAATTAAAACCATACATGTTGACATAGTTGTTTTTGTTCTAAAAGAAGTGTCCATATCAGAAATTTCACTGACCTTTTAGTTAAATTGACATAACTGCTAAAACTTTTCCTGTCTACAAGTGTCCTGACTGAATGGAAGGAGAAAAAAAACGAACAACTTTATTCTGTTTGGAAAGAGCAGCATGCTGCCCTTTCTGTTTTAAAGGGTTCCTCTTCAAAGTTATTAAAAATCCTTTAGCGAGGTAGCTTTTTCTCCCTCCTACTTTTACTCTCTCTTTTTACTCTCTCGCTACTCTCAGCTTAGACAGTAAGCAGCATCTGATTGGTTTTATTAACTTTTTAAACTTTTAACTCTTCACAGTCTAGCATGGACTGGGAACTTAGTTGTGATCTTGGGATTAGCAGTGATGTTTTGTGAGGCGGCTGAACTGGAAGCAGGGTGGGTTGCTACCCCTGAGAGGGGCAGGTTGGCTCCCAGCCACCCAGCTCTGCTGTGGGTGCAAGGTCAGCCCCCTGAACCAGCAACATAACAATGAAGGGAAGAATTTTCTGCCCACTTTGTGACTTGCACTGCTTGCAGAGGGTGCTGGGCAAGTGCCAGAGCAGGTGCAAGAGTAGCTTTGGGGAATAAATTTTGTGTCTTTTTAAATATTTTTTTTAAATGAAATTTTATTTTGAGATAGGCAAAAGTTTGGAAATATATCCTGACAAAGTATCCTGTGCTGTATGGCATTCTTCTGTCAATCATCCTGGTATCAAAAGGCTAGGGCAGCTCATGTGCCTTGTAGGAGAGGACTTCTTAACCAGGTGCTGCCCCACTTCCTTCCCGTGCCTTGCCCATGATGTCCCTGAGGGGCTGTGAAGCATCCCAAGGAAGCAGTAGCTTATGGGGATGCGAGAAGAGCATGTGGGCACATGTGTGCCCTCTGGGTACCCTTGTCCCCGCAGAACCCCTTGGACCTGTTGCAGTTGGGGCATGAACAGATGGACTTCTGAAGCCACAGGGGTGGCTGGCTTTTTCCGCTGCTTCTGCATGGCTTGTTTTCTCTCTGGGCATAGGACTCAAGGTTTGGTTATACTTGTTGCCTGCATCAGCCTGGGCTGTAGTTGCTCCTCCTCACACTGGAGCTTTTCTGCCTTTCCATATGAGTGTTGAGACTTTTCAGTTTAGGGCAAACTTGGTCAGGGAAGAGCTTGACCCAAAGCTTGTAGAAGTAGATGTGTGTGCTGTCGCTCATTTCTAATAGGCTTTGTGTGCCTTGCCAAGAGACTCAGGGGATCAGAGTTCATTTTTTATTTAGAAACGTGGAAGAACGTAAATATACGCTAGCTTTTATTTATTTGTTGATTTTCATGCAAAATTTATACCTGCTAAAATGTCACAACGGGGGCTTGTTACACCCGCACCTGGTTCATCGCTGAGGGAAAGCAGCCCTGCTGAGCTTCAGCATCTTTGTTCTGCAGTCGGAGCAGCGTTCTGCTAATGTGGTGCTTAGGACTCCCAGTTCACACAAGTACACTACAACATTATTTGAAATACACTTAGTGAGTTTTTTCTTTTGGCTTTGAAGAGGCCGATAGAGATGCAATATGAGCCTGGTTATGCTTTAACTTAGTCGGAGTTGGCCAGTTGTATTCTGTAAAATACAGACCCGTGCAGATGAGGATCCAAGTGTGTCCTCTCTCCGCTTTCCTTATGTGCAACAGCTGCGATGGGGAAAACTGATATAGCTAGGACAGGGAATGGGATGGGGGGATTTAGTGACCGCATCAGAAAGGCACTGGAGGGCAGCATGTAAAACATGAGATAGCAAGTTGACTGACATATTGCAAGGGCATAGTATTAATAGCTATTACATGCTTTTATTTCTTTAAATTCCTGTGGATGTAGTTACAAGGTGGCACACCCAGATTGTTTTAAGGGGAAATGGCATTAAACTGAAGAGGGTAGGTTTAGATTAGATATTAGGAAGAAATTCTTCACTGTGAGGGTGGTGAGACACTGGAACAGGTTGCCCAGAGAAGCTGTGGCTGCCCCCTCCCTGGAAGTGTTTAAGGCCAGGTTGGATGAGGCTTTGAGCAACCTGGTCTAGTGGAAGGTGTCCCTGCTGATGGCAGGGGGGTTGGAACTAGATGATCTTTAAGGTCCCTCCCAACCCAAACCATTCTGTGATTCTATGATTTATCAAAAGAAAAAAAACAAACCTTTTCTTTCTCTGTGGATTGAAGCGTAAATCTATTCTGTTCTCACCAGGAAATACATATTTGAGATAAAGGATTATTATATTTTTGAAGATGAATATTAACACAAGTTAGAATAGTATAAACTTTGTTTCTTTTTAGAAACATGTCTTTTTGCTTATTCTTCTCTCTCCTGTCTCTCATTCCTTTTCTTTAATCCTGACCTTTTTATTTTTTATTTTAAGCAAAGCATGTTACACAAGTACAGACTTCAGTTGTGCTGAATCTCTGATCACTGTTCCGAACAGAAATGTTTTGGTGCTGGTTACTGTTCTGTACCAGGGAGCTACCGCATTTCAAGCATCTACAGAACCAAAACAGGTTTGCAATTTTGTCTACTGTTTAATGTGTTCTTCTGCTCTTTGTCTGGGTTTTATTTCAGGGCATCTAGATGATGATGGGTTGCCACATGGATTCTGTACAGTCACCTATTCATCGACAGACAGATTTGAGGGAAACTTTGTGCATGGGGAAAAGAATGGCCGTGGCAAGTTCTTCTTTTTTGATGGAAGGTAGGCACTGACTCTTCAATATTTCTTCTGTATTCTGCTTCCTGCTTGCAGTGATACAAAACTAATCTACATTGATTGTATGCTGCTGGGTTTCTGGATAAGCTTTCTCATTAAAAACTGTAGCTGGAAAGTTTTCTCTACTGCTGCTGTAGTCTACCTTTGTGGGCTTGGGGACTTTGTATGTGACATGATGCCAGGAGTTGTTTCCTGGTGAGAGAATGCAGCGGTGTGAACTCTTTTAGCACTGTAAAGTTATGAACTAACTGGAGACCAAAAGAGCTGGTAGGTGGTCAGAGCTATTGGAAATGATGCTGATGCTGACTTGGACTACAAAGTTCAAGTCCATAACTGCGGGTGGAATTCTTTGTTTGTCTTATAGCCACATACAGAGACTGCAGCTGGACTGGGAGCTCCCTGTGCCCAACAGCAGGCACCGGCGTAGGGCCTTGACAGAGAGGCTTACTCTCTGCTTGGTCTTGGAAATTGTTTAGTGGTTAAAGGATTGAGTTAAACATGGTTTTGTTCCCATCTCTACCTCATCCTCTGCAAGTTACTTGTGGCCTGATTCCTTTCAGAAAAACCCCTATAACTTCCCCTCTCTTCATGGGGAATTGTGACAGTGGAACTGGGCTAGTCTGTGCCTATGCCTCTATTTTCTTCTCAGGTCTTCATTACGAACACCTTGTACATCTTCCCCCAGCTGCAGCATTTCTCCCTGCAGTTGCTCAGAACTTCCTCCAAAGGAGCAGCAAATGTATAAAATGACACGATTCTTCCTGGGTTTGCAGCTGTTGATGGCACTATGAATAGCAGCCCTTAAACTGACAGTCGTGCCGGGTCTACTCTCCTCCTGCTCAGCGAACTTCTGAGCAGGAGCAGAGGTATTGTGCTGTCTCAGTGAGTCAGCTCCTTGTCTGTACTTGCCTTTTCAATTGCTTCATACTGGGGATTGTGGGGCTTTTTTAATGAGAAAGATAATATATTTATTCAGTTATGCAGAAACTGATCAGGCCTCCAAGCTTGGATGAAGAAAAATCCCCACTGTTGTTGGTAATGGGCTTATTAAATCTTGTGTGAGTAACTGAAAATCAGTACTGCCCACTAGCTGACCTCTCTAAAATAGCTTTTTTTTAAAGTTGGCAGACAGCATCTATATGGACACATGTACGTAATGCTTCTGTGCTTGTTGATGATCTCAGCAGAGCAGTTGCTGATTGTACAGTCAGAGAAACTGACCCGCTATTTTGTTTGTAGGGCTGCTCCTCCAAGTCATACAGGGTACAGGCAGTGCTCTGTGGGAAAACTCAGGCTGCTGCTGAGTCTTTTCTGTACCACTTCAGTGTTGCCAACTCTTTTTTTTTTTTTTTCTCTCTGTAATTTTTGTAACCCTTAAAAAAATTGGAACAGTTAGCTAGTGTATGACTTCAGGAACTAGCAGAATAAAAATATACAAAAATAGTCTGTAATGTGGTTTTGGAAAATGGGATATTTTTATAAACTGCCCTAAGCTTACTTTAATTTCACTAGAGCAGCCTTAACTGAGCAGTGACTAGTTCTAAAGATGTAGCAATTTACCTACCTAGCTGTGCCCAGCTAGCAAGAGTAAACTGCTCTCTGCAGTGGATGGTTCAGGTGTCACAACATGTCAGAGGAAGAATGACCTGGCGTAAAATGGGACCTGCTGTTTGCATTACCCATGCCCTGGGCAGGGGTGAGTGCTTATGAAGAAGAGAAATGAATGCCAAAAATATCTCAAAACACCTCTCCCCTTACAGCGTTGTGTGCGTCAGTGCAGTAAGTTAGCTGGTTTCAGCATTCCTGGATCCGTTTCCCTTGCAGGCTGCTGGTAAAAGCTGGGCTGCTTTAGGTCTGTTGTTCAGGAATAGTTGAGTCCTGTCAGACACTGGACTGGCAGCAGTGTCAGCGTTCTCATTTTTTGGGTGTGGGGAAATAGGACTGGCTGCCTCATTTGCCTCAGTGAAAACTTTTCCCTTCATTGGAATAGCTGCCACCTTTCTGTGGATTGTTTAAGGGAGTAGAAACCTGGAACGAAACATCAGGTGTTTTTTCCTCCCCTCTTTGAAAACAGGGGAGGAAAACATGTTGTTGAACGTATTCTTTCAGAGAGAGCAGTTTCACCTCTGGCATACTCCCTGTTTTGGGTCACATACTTGAGCTTTCATTGGTGCTGTGCAAAACACTTTGCGCAATAACCGAGAGCCTGTTTGGCACAGAGCTGCAGCTGCTGTTCTCCCTTAACTGGGAGCTCTTGTAAACTGACATCTCCCAGAACACACTAGAGAACTGGATTATTTTTAAGAGGAAGTTTTCAGTGTTCCCATATAGAAGGAGAGGTAGGAGATCAGAGAGTGATCTCCACTTGGATCAGGGTCTATCGATGTAACTTAATACCTGGAAGGATATTGCAGTAAATATTCCCCCCCCTCCCAGCTCTTATCACTGGTTTATTTTTTAGGTAGTGGATATCCTAGATCTCCTCTAGGCCTGGTGGATAGTGGGAAGACAGTACATCTGATGAACCTTGACTTTAGTAAAACTTTATGTTAAATACGATAATCTGAGAAGCAAACCAGCTTCTCGAGGTTTGTATTAACAAGATTTTGTTTATGCAAGATGCAGAAGCTGTTTATTCTCCCTTGTGCTGGTCAGGTCTTAGTTGTAAGTATTGGGTCTGCCTGCAGACACCATACTTTGAGAGCTTAAAAACAGAGAGAGAGAAGGGGGGGAGTGAGGTGGAAATAACTCAAAAACTGAGAAGTTTAAAAGTTTTAGAGAACCTGATTTTCTAGGCAAGGTTGAAAGACATGGAATTCTTTCTTTAGGTATCTTTCTTTTGATTTTCTTAGGTGATATGGGAGTAGAAAGAGGTGGATCTTTTGGACATTGTTTGGAGCATAATACAATGAAAGAAAACATAAAGATTTGAGTTACAGTGAAAGAAAATACTTTTTTTCCAGTGCTGAAGCACTGTTGTAATTTAGCAACTTGTTAACTTCAGCTAATACCATTAAAGGGAACAAGAAGGTTTTTTGGTCTGTTTCATTACATAAACTGGGGGTGGCTGCTTCTTTTAAAGAGTAATCCTCCATGTGGGCTCTGTGTGCGTTGCCAGCTACAATGAGATTCAAATCTGGTGATCTGTGATAAACTAGAGGAGAAAGTGATGTGATTTACAGTCGAGTAAGTGCACAGATTTCTGGTGCTTCCCTCATCTGCTCTGCTCCTTCCCTGTGCTGTAGTGCTGTAGCTGTCTGTGCAGCTCTGGAGCAACCTGGATCAAGAAATTAATCTGACTGAAAAGTAAAACTAATTTCCTGCCCTTTCCTGCTCTGCGTCTGGTTTGCATTGAGGCTTTTACTGTAGTATATTTCCCCCTGGAAACCTCAGCCAGCTTGCCAGTTATGTAAAAACAGAGTGTGAAGCTTTAGGAACCAGAAAGTAAATTCTGAGAAAACATTCCTTACACAACTCTTGAAAATCTGTTTGGTAAAATTTTGTAAAACATGTAGAGTCTTCCAGATTCTCTTTGAGCTTTTACCTTAGATGTCTGCATCAGAAAAAGAATTATGCAGTGAAAAGTATGTGTACTGCTGCTGGCTGGGGTAAAAGCTAAGCAGTTTGTGTTTCCTTATGGCAGTTCTAACCTGAGAAGGAAATAATTGAGTAGATCCTCTTTTGCTGTTGTGCTTTATTCTTTGTAGTTTCTCTCCACAGCCTTTTTTTTCTTTTTTTTTTTTTTTAAGAAAGGAAGCAAAGCAGGTTGCAGGATTATTACTCCCCTTCTCAAGGGTTTGCAAGACAAAACTGAAGTGAAATGTTTCTTTGTTCAAATCCAAGTGCAGCGCTAGTTCTGTTTGACAGACTGTGTTCCATTTTAATAGAATTACATGAAAAATGACAGTGCTTTTAGCAAATCCAGTGCAGATTGCTGCGAAGTGTATCACTAAGGAGCTGCCGCTGAACTGGTAGCAGGTTGCAGTTTGTGCTGCTTTGTGCTCCACCTGCACGGCAGTTCAGTTTCATCATCTCACCAGAGGGATGTCAGTAAAGATCGAAACCTAGGAGGTAGATAATCCTACCGTGAGAGTAGCGTGCTTGAGCAACAATTTCTTCTTTGGCCACAAGCATCCATTCACTGCTGTAATTTGCTACCTCAGCCTATGAAAAACGCTCAGCAATGTAATGGAGATGAATAACACTGTGCCCGTGCAACACACCCTGGTGAAAGGATGGCCTGAGTTGTTCTCTGCCTTTACACATCTGTAGAAAAATGTTTCTGTTTTTCATCTTCACTTTCCAGAGAAGTCAAGTTTACCTTCCTGCTCCACTTCCCTTTGTCCCCATCAAATTTGATTGAAACGAGCAAACACATCAGAGTTTTAGACATGGGAGAGAATAGTTCTTGGCAGGAGACAGAGGAGAGATGCTGTAAGTGGTGTCCAGGGAGAAAGTCCCGGCAGCCACCACCGAGCCTTTCAGCATGCCTGTCTGTCCCTCTGCACAGGGCTGTGCCCCACGGCAGCCTGAGATCTTAGAGAGAAGCCACCAAGAAAATGTGGTCTGAAGAAAATGTGTGATTGTTGCAGGGCGGTGTGTGTTTCAGGGAGAGTTGTGGGGTACCCAGCAAGAGCAAACCAGACATCATCAGTTACCCCCTCCTAGGACCTGGCTTTCTCGAAGGTTTCCCCTCAGCCTCTCTGTACCAGTAATAGAATGATGAGCAGAGGAGCGGGGTTGTGCTGTGCCTCGTATCGAGGCTTTGGGTTCACCTCTTTGAGAAGTGAATAGTCTTGCACTGCTGTTTTCTTTCTCTCTTTGCCAGCACCCTGGAAGGGTACTATGTTGATGACGCCCTGCAAGGCCAGGGAATCTACACTTATGAGGATGGAGTGGTCCTTCATGGCACCTATGTGGATGGAGAGCTGAATGGACCAGCCCAGGAGTATGACAGTGATGGGCGGCTGATATTCAAAGGGCAGTATAAAGACAACATTCGACATGGAGTTTGTTGGATTTATTACCCGGTAAGCCTGATCACCCCCTCTATTGCAGAATAATACCATTATGTATCTTGCTTTTCTCCCCAGCTGAAAGAAATATCTACCATGATCCAGCTATCCAAAAATCAACACAGAAAAATCTGGGTGGAAGATCTGCGTGTTCTAATTTTGGATAATCCAACATATAGTTAAACCTTTTCAGTGTTGAACATTTGCCCAGCAGACAGGATTCAGAAAGGCTGCGAGATGCCTCTATTATTTTAATCTTTCAAGGAATGCAGACCCTTGAAAGGGCATTTATGTGTGTGTCCTTGCAAAGGCTGGGCTGGTGATTTTCCCGCTGACTGCAGGTGAGGAGCACGGAGCCATGCAAGCTGTTGCAGCCTGCTGCTCTGATTGAACTAGGAGGGGAGACTTTGTCCATTCCTGCAGGAAATGCTGTGAAATCTGTCTTTGCCCAACAAATTGGATGTAACTGGTGTGAGAGCTGTGCCTCTGGCTGGTGTGTGGACAAGGGCTTTGCTTATTAAGCAAGCCAGAATGTTATTTTTCTGCTTCCTGGTAAACACTCCAATACTCCTCTGGAAAACTGCAGGAAGTTTTAATGTGCTTTTATAACCATGCTAGTTAGGGCTGTTTAGGGTTGTACTGGTTTTTAGGGATTTTTTTTTAATGTAATTTTTTTTAAATTTTAATTCCTATTCAGCCTTACCCAGCACTCCAGGGCTGAACCTTTTGCTCTATATGTTGTGCTGAGGAGGGGTAAACATCTGCATGTGATTAAGCTGCTGGTCAATACACAACCTATTTCTCTGCTACATATTGCACGTACTTTAGTTGCAGTTTCATTTCAAAAGCTCACCGTTGGCTGTTCATTTTATTTACTGGTTTTCACTATTGCCATTAAGCATGTGTTAGAATCAACAAATGCTTGGTGTGTTACACTGCCAAACAAGTAGCAGTTTTTCAGTAGTAGTGTACAAAGTACACACAGCTGACCCTTCAGGTCATGTTTCGTCTTCCAGCTGACAAAGTGTTGCTGTACCTTCTGGAAATGTGGGTATTTAGAGGTTGTTTATCATTGTCATCTTGCCAATCTAAAGGGTGTGAGGTGTTTCAAAAGAACCTTTGCCATGGAAGTAATTGTTTCTGCATGGTTCTGTGCATGCTGCTGTGTGCACAATTTTTTACCCAAACTTAAGAGTATGTTTGAAGCTCTTTTCATCCTTGGAGTTGAACAAAATGTTGCCACTCTGAAATAGAGGCTGTGTGCAGTAATCTTGATCTAAATCAGTGTGTTTCCACATCACACCTGCTGTTTCGGCTCCAGGGCATTATTTGAAGATGTTTACTTATCCTTCTTGAAATAAACACCTGAAATTGCTAGACCTGTGTTAATCTGTGCATCTCATTCAGCAATTCTGTAAACAGATCTAACTGGAGTTGCAGGCAAATCACAGATGGCAAAGCCCAGGGCTAAAATGTGTAAACCTTAGAGAGGAAATGTGTTGCTGATGATGGCTTTCAGCAAGCAGTTTTTCTCACTTAGTACCACCTGACATCATGGAGGGTGCTGGTGACAGACAAACTCTCTAGTTGTCCAGCAAATATTTTTCTTTCTTTTTTAATAGGCTCAAGTCTTTTGATGTACCATGAATTAGCAGTGAGCAAGACAGTGTTTTAATTTTTTCTTTCCTCCAGCACAGTGCTGTACTAAAAAACTCAGACCAAGTTTGCGTGTGGTTTTGCACCTTGATTCACAGACTGTTCACATAAAGATTTTGCTAGTTGAAACTCAGTATGTGTTACATGGAAGGAAACACTCTTGGGTTTTTCCTATTTCAGACAATGTAGGAAACACCATTCATTTCTTTTATCAGTTTTATCCTGCCTGGAATGACTTCACCCAGCTTCTTTGTGTGTCTGTTTCATACTCATTTTCATGATCTTGCATCTGAACTTACTGTAGCTTAGATTCCTTCTTTAAAAAGTTGGGAAAATCTTTTTCATTTACTGAAGATAATAAAGTATAACTAAATGCTCTGCCTTTTCTTTCTTGCCCATTCTTTCAGGATGGAGGCAGCCTTGTGGGAGAAGTGAATGAAGATGGGGAGATGACTGGAGAGAAGATAGCCTATGTGTACCCTGACGGAAAGACTGCATATTCTGGAAGGTTCATAGATGGAGAAATGATAGAAGCAAAGCTGGCAACTCTGACATCTGTAGAGGATGGGAAACCTCAGTTTGAAGTAGTACCAGGCAGTAAGTTCAGCTAACACAGAAACTTGTGTTCTCACTACCAGGTCTTTGCTGCAAACAGCTTGGTTTCTCTAATGTTTCCCCACTAACAACTCGAAAGGCTGGCTGCAGTAAGAAGTCTGTTAGTGAGAAGCTCTTTTTCTAAGTTACAGAGTTGGCCAGAAGGGTGTGTGGAGTGATCCCTTTGCCCAGGAAGCAAAGGGGAATGACCCATGTGGTGGTGCTGCTGAACTGCATTTCACAGCCCTTCTCCTGCATGCCCATGGGCACACTGCACACACCGTTGCCATCTGTGTGAGCAGGAAAACCTGCCTAACCGCGTTAATGCTGGCACAGTTACAGGCTTTGTTTTGTCAGGAAAATAACTGAAAGCAGAGAGGGAGGCTGTGGTGTGGTTGTAGCTCTGTCAGTTGGGTTTGTGCAAGTGAAGGTGAATATCCTGGCGTCTTCGTGTCTGGGCTGAAAGGACACAGGGGTTGGAGTTGGTGAACTAGATTCAGTTGTTGTGTAACAGTCTGATTCACCAGCACCCTTCAGCCTGTCTGGTGCTGCTGATAGAAAGTGGCTGTGAAATGATTAGAATCAGCATGGTGCCTTTGGCCCATCTAGCCCAGTGCTCCTTCTCCTGGGCAGTGGTGGCTGGGCCTGTAGTTCTGAAGAAATTTTGTTGCTCTGAGGTGTATGTGATGTTTTGGAGGTGAGGGGGTTAAGCTGCACACAGGGCCATGAGTAATAAACAGGGACTATGCTAACACATTTGCTGTTTTGCCAGCAAATATTGTCTCACCCCATATGAAATAAGAACATAAAACTCATTGAAAAGGCATTGAGAAGCAAATGCATGTGACTTTTTATTTTTTAAATCTCTCAGTTGTGATAGCAAATCAAAATTTAACTTAAAAGATAGCTTCTGAGAGGGTGCAGTTGTGCTTTGTAAATAGGATTGAATTACACTCTGGAGGAAGCTGGCTTCAGCCAGAACAGATCTTGGGCACTAGGGACAATGGCCTTTTATCAGGCTTTGTAATATCATCTTTTGTTTTGTTTTTTTTCTTTCTTCCCACCTTATTTCCACCTGCATTGTAACCGGTCTCCCAGATAGTCCTCTGGCAGTTGATTGTAGAGGGGTGTAAGGTTAAAATTAGAGCTGTACTGCTGAGTTGCTTATTAATGGCAGGAAATAAATGACTGTAGCAAGTGTGCTTTGTGATTACTGAACATTATCTTATGGCTGAGGTCCCTTCAGGATTTGGACTAGAAAACATTTCATACTTGAACTAGTCCAAGATTTTTTTATATAATTAATGTGTTATTGAATATGTGCTTTTAAAATTTGCTTTACTCTTTAATTTTAATTAGAGACTCTAGGAGGGTCAGTTTTGAAGGACTGTCCAGTCCTCCTTTACAAATTGGTGGTTTGAAGAAGATACGTATCACCTTTTTGTGATAACACTGCTACTCTAGTATGTTGAGGGGGAAAAATAATAAAGAAACAGTATCTCACTTAAGACCTTTTACAGGTGCAGTTCCGTTTAATACCTTTTTTTGGAAACATAACATTTATTTCTTGCAGTCATTAAAATTTAATTTTGAATGCCTTGATTAAGTTAAGGGTTGTGTGCTTTTGTTACTGCCAGTTAGTTTATATTCTTTGTTGATTTCTGTTTTTGTAGGCCCAGTGTACAGTTTTGACAAATCTACTTCATCCTGCATTTCTACAAACACACTTCTTCCTGATCCTTACGAGTCAGAGAGGTAGGCTTGTGTTCTTCTTCCCTCTCTTGATATGGTCCGTATTTCTTTAATGTTGCATGCTCGGTGCCTAATTTTGCAAACCCTTTCTCATTTAAAAGTAAAATAAATAAATAAATGTTTAAGGGTTTGTGAAATGGAACGTATTACTGCACATCAGTCCACGTTTGATTTGATTGAATATCTTTCTGACTTGCAGAATAAAATTGCACTCTAGTGGCTAGAACATAGCAATACTCTTTAAGAGATTAAACTAAGATAATTTCTTAGCGTTTCAAAGATGTTCAGTCAAGTCCACATAGCCCCCATCTACAACATGCTGAGCAAAAAAGTACAGTTCCCTGTTTTCTAGATGTGTAACTCACTTCAGTGAGCTGCATTCTGTCTGTCTCACTGGATCGTGTGCATTGTACAAAGTTCTCTCCTCTCCCTACAGACGTAGCAAAGTGGCAAGAGTAAATCATCAAGCTAGAGGAAACTGAGATACTGGTTGTGACAACCCTGTCATGTCAAAACATGTTCCTCAGCAATTGACATACTGAAGTCAGTCAGTGATGTCTCTTCCATGGCTATTTCACAATTATGCTTTTTACATAGACTTTGAAGAGGCCTTGCTCTGTAGTTATCTCAATTATAGATCTTTTCTGACACTGAAATATCTAAATGAGTGATTAGCAAAATGTTGCCATTAATTTGCATCAAGTGCTTGAAAAATCTAGGCCTTCACCTTGAAAACTTGCTCAGTGTAGTAAGCTGTGCATGTTCACACCAGCAGCCTCAGCTTAGTGGGGACCTCTGGGATTCTGGTATGTTACTGAGGGTGTTTCTGAGTTGAAGCCATCATTGAGGAGAAATAGTAGATTGACACTAGAAAAAAACAAAACCAAAACCAAACAACAAAACCTTTCAAACAAATAGATAAATTCAGCCCCTACTTCCCACCAAATAGAGAGAACATGGGGAGGAGAAGGAGTTGCATTTGGAGTTCTTGAATTATTAGTTCTATTCTTGTGTTAGAAGTATTGGTCTTTATGTCAGTAGTGTTGTGATAATACTTCTTGAAAATGGAAACTGTAGCCAATCACTAATTCCATGTCCTTTTCCCCTTGTAGGGTGTATGTTGATGTCTCTCTTATTTCCAGTGCTGGAGAAGGATTATTTTCGAAAGTAGCAGCAGAAGCCAGTACAGTTATGTCCTTTTACAACGGAGTGCGAATTACACACCAGGAGGTAAAGGAGAGGAAAAAAGTCAGTCTGAATTTTCATTGCTCCTTCTGAAATCTTGTTGTAGTAGGATTTTTACACCCACCCCTTTCCCACCTTTAAGATTTAATATGATGGGACTTTAATTGAAGGAAAGTGCATGTTCACCTATGTATATATAAAAAAGTGGTGGTGGGTTTTCGGGGGTTTTTTTATTACTTACTGGAGAAGCTTTAGTTGCATGTATTTGAATGTTTGCTTTCCAATTGCTGGCAAAGTTGACCTCTCCACACACAGACACTGGATTTTTGCCTTGCAAACTAGGTAGACAGCAGAGACTGGGCCCTCAATGGAAACACAATATCCCTGGATGATGAAACAGTCATAGACGTGCCAGAGCCCTACAACCACGCCGCCAAGTACTGTGCCTCACTGGGGCATAAGGCCAACCATTCTTTCACTCCTAACTGCATCTACGACCCGTAAGTAGAGTCCTGTGTTTCAGAGGGGAGGCTGTAGCCTGGTGATCTGGGCTCACGGGGTGTTTCTGGGCAGCTGGTGGGACTGGGAGTGATGGGTGCAGGCATCAAAGGAGTTCCTGCTCGCCTGGGCTGAGATGGAAACTGGCTGGCATTGCGGGTGCTTGATGTCTCTCATGCAGTATCTTAGGTTTGCAACTGTGTTAATTTTGTCATGAACTTTAGGAGCTGCCTCTTGATTCTGAAATGCATAAGCACAGCTCTCTAAATCCTGGCTTGGCCAGGACTGCGCCGTATTTGCTGAACTACAGATGGTTGACCAGTACCATCAAATGTGCTGTCATTTCTGAAACTCCAAAAATAAGCATCTTACTGCTCTGCAGTTGGTGCGGAGTGCTGGGAAACTTTTGATGTATACATATGCTCAAAGGTATAAATATTTTCATACCAATGTATAAAGGAACAGACCTGTGGAGATAGATATATAGAAAATAGTTTTCCTTCATTAAATAAGCCAGTTCCCTTTTCTGTGGGACCCTGGGGGAAGATGTACAGAAGTATGTTACAATTGTTTGGTAGGTAACCTGTACTGAGGATGTTCAGTACAGGTTGCAGGTACAGGATGATCTCCCCATCACAAGTGAGACATGGAGCAGCTAGAACAAGGCCAGAGGAGGCCACGAGGATGATCCAAGGGCTGGAGCACCTCTCCTATGAGGACAGGCTGGGAGAGTTGGGGCTGTTCAGCCTGGAGAAGAGAAGGCTCTGGGGAGATCTTATAGCGGCCTTCCAGTACCTGAAGGGGCTACAAGGAAGCTGGGGGAGGGACTTTTCATAAGGGGAGTTAATGACAGAACAAGAGGAAATGGGTTTAAGCTGAAAGAGGGTAAGTTTAGATTAGATATTAGGAAGAAATTCTTCACTGTGAGGGTGGTCAGACACTGGAACAGGTTGCCCTGAGAAGCTGTGGATGCCCCCTCCCTGGAAGTGTTTAAGACCAGGCTGGATGAGGCTTTGAGCAACCTGGTCTAGTGGAAGGTGTCCCTGCTCATGGGAGGGGGGTTGGAACTGGATGATCTTTAAGGTCCCTTCCAACCCAAACCATTCTATGATTCTATGTGAAGATGAGTGATTTTCCGTGCTCTCCAATCTCAGAATCTATACTGTTCTCCTGTTGTGCCGATATTTACCTTTGCAAGCCCAAGGCACGTGGCAGTGGTTAACTTAGGTTTATTTACTTATTACAAAACAAGCAACGTTGCAGGACTGTTGAAAAATTTCAAGTCATAGAGGTACACAAAGCTGTTTTAATATATCAATGTTTTTGCCCTTATTACTTGAGTCTTAGTAGGATTGACTTGAAGCAATCTACTTACCTGATGCCAGATTTTGTGCTATTACTCTGAACTGTGAGTGACTTCTGAAACTATAGAAGGGGCTAACAGTGTCTGTGAATTGACAGCTAAGCCTAGCAGAGGTGTTTATTCTTTGTCTAGGTTTGTTCATCCCCGTTTTGGGCCTATCAAGTGTATCCGTACCATCAGGGCTGTGGAGAAGGATGAAGAACTAACAGTGGCTTACGGATACGATCACAACCCTGTTGGGCAGAATGGGCCAGAAGCACCGGAGTGGTACCAGCTGGAACTGAAAGCTTTCCAGGCTGCTCAGCAAAAGTGAGATGGGAGCTCCTTCTCTGCTCAGCAAACTGAAATAGAAACTTGGATCTATGCACTACCTTTATACTGAAAACTGGACAACCAGGGATTGTTCATGCTGTTGCATCATAACTTTGCATTCTGTGTTAAGAGATAAGTTTCTTGCATACTAACTAGGTTTGACTGTGTTACTCATAGCAGATTTAAAATTAGCTAGCGTTGCACCAGTCTTATCTGGAGAAATTATTTAATATTCTGTACGAGACGTGATATTCTTTGGTAGCTTCTGCTTTTGCACCATATGCAAAGATGCCAAAAGACTAGACAGAAAACTAAAATGGGTATATCGTTCACTTTTAGTCGGCAGACTTAGTGTTGCTCTCTATCTGCCTAGGCATTATTGTGCAACTGCATTTTGCATATATGCCACTTGTGATGATAACAGTAATATTTTGATATTCTCTAATAGTAGCATAATTTTGCCTTTTTAAACCTTTGATCTGAATCTTGCAATAGAGCAGTTTATTTATTAGCATATAGGAGGCTGGGTTTTAACTCCCCTTTCCTCTTGTCTGAACATTATTCTTTCTACAAATCCTCTTTTGCAGGAGAAAATCCTTTCTAACTAGTGGAAAGGCTTGTGTGTGTATGTGAGAGTGCTGTGTGTTGGTCTCTGTGGCTCTCTAAATAGTATAGCAATGTGTCCAAACCTAATATTTATCTAGCCTTTATGGCTGGCTTATTTTATTTAATTTATGATTATGACACGCAAATGAAGCTGTTCTTTGCATGAAGATTCTCTGAAAGGAGAAAATGGATTCACTTTTTGAAGGACTTTTAGAAGTTCATGTTCTGGAAGGCAACCATGTTACTTGCCTTAGTGTCCATGAGTTGGTTTGTGAATTAAAGTGGCCGGTTCTTAAGGCAAAAATTCTAGCAGTGAGATGCTTGCATCTCACGTGGATTCTCTTAAAGGAGGTGTATGTATCTGAGGGCAGGCTGTGGTACTTGGTTAAGGAGAGCTGTATCTTTTGTATGTGTTCAGTTGATAAAGAATATAGCCTTGTAGCCATCTTTTAGTAGTACTGGTTTAAGACACAGTAAATTAATATAGTATGAGATATCAAAATAAGATTTTTTTTTTTAAAAAGACATGAAAAGATTGTTTTTGAAAGACAAACAATGAATGTAAAAACACTGCTCACTGCTCCTATTTAGAAACAGCAGTCAATCCATAGCTTTGTTGCAGCCAACAGTGGGGGCTTGTGAATATTCATCTGCAGGGCTGTGTTCTGGGGTTTTTCAGGGGTAGGGAAATTGCTGTGCATTTTTTCAGATGCTGTACTGGTCTTGCCTAATGCTGTATAAGAGAGAAATAATGTATCATCTTGGTCTGGATGCTGGAGCTCTTCTGGGGCTCTGATGCTCTCTTTGGGTTTAGCAGCTTAGGGAAAAACTCAAATGCATTTGCAACACTTTCTTTAAACGTTTGTAGTTTTAAAAAAGTTTGTATATATGTAACATAAATGATTTGGAAAAAGACCTGCCTTTCTATTGCAACACGTTTTGATTGGTTGCTTGAAGGGTTGGAGGTGTCTGGCTGGCTGGGGAGCCAGGCGTGGAGGGTGAGTTGAGTTGGTACCTGCAAGTAGAAGGATGAGGTTGCCCTTTTGTGCAGTCTGAGAATCCTTGCTTTGCTACGTGTAGAAAGTTAGGAACTGTTAATAAGAACCTCTCCAACTTGGGGCTCTCTTTAGTCCCTGTGACTGATCACAAACCTTTTCCAGCACCTCACCATTCAAGCTTGTACAAAAGCTACTCTGTGCTTGTGCTGGGGGGCAAGCAGGCTCAAGGCTTTTTGACACTCTTCCAGCAGTGATCTGAATGTCAGCTTTGACACCACCCGCCTCCTGGCACTGGAGACTCAGGCCACAGCTCCACCTCTCATCCTGGGCCGGTGGCTGGCAGAGGTGATAGCTCAGGGACTCAGCTGAGTGTGCAGAGACAGAACTGAGCCTCACAGGTGAGGGGGAGTTGTCAAAGGCCAATTGGCAGCAGGGCTTCAGCAAATGAACCACAAAAAGAATTGTGCAGGTCTTGATCTTTCCCTGCCTGCCCACAGGTCATTATTTTAGATCATTGCTGTTGCAGCCATTTGCAGAAAGGCCTGCTTCTCTGGTAGGAAGCTGTTGTGTGCATCTTGTGGATTATTCTGCCAGGGCCATCAAGTTTGCAAAGTCAAGGCTTGTGTTTAAGTGCAGGGAAGAGGAGAGGGAAGATGCATGCCTGTACCCTGCTGTGAATGGATGGTAACTCCTTCCACAGTCTTGATAACCTGCTTTGCACTGCTTGCCTCTTTCTGTGCACTGGAGAATCGTACTTTAAATGTTCTGATCTCTAGAGCTCCTTTGGCTTCATTCCTGATCAATCTCTGATTCCTCTGCTATCTCCTCTTTGTGTGGAGTTGCTTATGTTTTAATAGATTTGTCAGTCTTCATATTGCCTGATTTTTGAGATAAATACAAGATAGGTGCTCTTTGTGCATCAGGTTTGAAGGTTGCAACCTAAAATAGGGAAATTCTAGGGAAAAAAATGGTGCTGAGGTATTCTCTGTGTTCTCAAAAGCTGTTATATTGGTGACAGTCAAGCAGATTCTCTTGCTCTTGCATATGCTTGTAGCCTGGTAGTTGCCACAACTGTGGCTATTGTCTCTATTAGCTCTACTGTCCTTTATCTCTCAGCGCTGTTAAAATCTATTGGTCCTCCTATAGATCCCTTCTTCAGTGACCAACCTTCTATAGACGTTGTGATTATAAAGCTGCTTTGGCTTGATTCAGGACCAAGCCTTTTAATTCTTCCTTGTGTTCTTTTTTCTTTGTGGTCTGTTAGAGTGGAGATGGTTGGGATGGTTTTTACCACTGGGTAGCGAAAGGGCTCGGTGTGTCCTTCAGAGGCTTTTGAGAGGTGTGCGTTGGCAACCACAGGTTTAAACACAGGTTAGTTCCAGAACTCCACATAATGCCTTAACTTGGTCAACGTATTGCAGCTCAGCTTCTGAGGCTCACTAGATAGCGAGACCAGCTTAGCAAAACTGTTTATCAGTAGTAACATGAGACCCACACCAAAACATGATTTTAATTTGGAGCAGAGGAAGCAAGTCATTTTGCAAAGCAATCCGTTTGAGTTGGTGGAATGCAGCTGACTAGGTGAATATGCAATAAGTACAGAAGCTCCACTTCTCAGAGTCTGGCCAAAGACCTGTCCTGTCGGCACAGAAACTGGAAGAAGAGCTGATGCCTGCATGGGCAGCTGGCTCTTGGAGTAGCTGTTGTGGCTCAAGAATGGCGTAAGAGAACCTGGAATTGCTGCTTTTTTCAGGTACAGATCAGTTCCCAACGTCTGCCTTTGGTCTGCAGTGCTGCATGTGGCTCCTGTGATGGGAGGGTTCTTACTTGAGCTCCTTTACGAGAAGGAGCCTACCTCAGCCTGCCTTAGAGGCTGCTGATTGTCTCTTTTAAAAAAAAAAAAACAAAACAAAAAACCACACACACACAAAAAAGGTCTTAAATGGATCTTCCTGCTACAGCAGCACTGTGTTTTGTTACCAAGAACACAGAAGCTTACTTTTCTGAAGAAGCAGTTAATCTTGGAGACAAGCATGAGAAGTTACAGCTGAGAGCTACCTGCTGCTGGGTCACTCCTCTGGATAAGCGGGAACAGGGCTTAGGCCTAGGGGAGGTGTCTCAAGTTAAGTCTCAGACTATAATTCAACTCTTTGGGATGTACTAAAATACCTGATTTTCCTTCACAAATCTGAAAAGGCTTTTTCCTTTTTTTTTTTTTTTAGTAGTAATTAAAAAACCCTTAACCTACATAAATATATATGTCTTAACTGTTGAAAAAGTCAAAGGAAATACATGGATATGTTCCTCAGCAATCAGAGTGAGAGCTGTCATAGCTGTTTGACTTTTTCCACAGTTGCAGCAATAGCCACTAGAATGGCCCATGCTTTCTCCCAGGTGCAGCTCCTGGATGGCTTGTGCAGGTTTCAGGACCTTTGGGAAGCCAGCTTTGTGAGGCTGCATGTTTCGGGAGCGACTGGGTAACCTTCTCCTTAGTTCATCCTTCTCAGATGTGGAGCTGTCAGTGTGGAACACAGTTGGCAGTGGCTGTGGTTTCTTTCCCGGGGCTGTTGCGGTACGTTGCTGGCATGGAAGTGAGAGTGCCACTGGGGATGTCTCACCCTCTGCCAGGCACTGGAGGAGCAGGGTAGCCAACGTATCCTGCCTGGTACAAGAAACTGAGAAGCTGTGGCAATTGTCACTTTCCTGTTTCCTTCCCAGTTGGCTGCAAGCCCCCGGGGGAGCCTCGGCTGTGGACGGGTTGTCCCCATCACTGTTTGTGGGTGTCTTTGTCCTTCAGTCGACACCGGCGCTCACCACTTGGGTTGTGCCAGGATCTGTACGGTGCCGCTTCTGTCCCAGAGACCTCTGTTATTTCTATCCTTTCACTCGATTCAAGAGTCTTTTTGGAAAATGCTGCCCTAGTGATGAAGTAATGAGATGTACAGAGCTGGTTACCTGCTGCTTTGTTTTCCTCTGGCACAGCAGAATTGCTGGAGCTGTGGATGCCCGAGGAATTCACCTTCAAGCACTTAAAAAAACCAAAACAAACAACGCAATTGCTTTGAAAACAATGTTGCTGAAGTGTCTCCTTATACGCTGAGGTGCTGTATTAGACGCCTCTTCCTCGCTTACCCCACGCTGTCGTATGCTGAGAGCATTTGGGCGAGGAACGCAGGCGTGGGAGCAGCTTTACCTGTGGGTGTAAGTGGGCTTCACTCTCACCTGCACCCCAGGAAGAGCTTGTTCCTTTTGCTTTGTATACTGGAAACATGAGAACTCTGTTTTTGGACAAAGCATTTCTAAGCGGTCTTATAAGGGATGATTTTTTTATTTTATTTTATTTTTAAAAAGGTGCAAGATTGAGTGCATGTTTACTTGCCCCAGATCAAAGGTTTTGAACACTAAGGTATTTCAACATCTGTTGAATGGACCCTCCTCTTGGCGCTCTTCTGTCTTCAGGCAATTGAAGCTCCTGCCCTCTTTCTTTACCAGTTTTACTGTAACTACTTTTTGTTTTGTTTTGTTTTCCAGGAGAAATATATATATACAAAAATTCTAAGCAATTAAATGTTCAAGCCATAAAATCATGAGTGTGGGAAGACCCTCTTCACAAATTTTAACATATTTGTATGTAAAATGATGTTTGTATGAAATATTTTCATGGTAGAATGAATATTTTAAAAAAAAAAAGTTCCAGTAAGATCTAAACCAAACTTAAAAGGATGTCTTTTTGTAAGATGCAAGTGTAATTGATAACCAATAAGTGGATTTTTTTTTTTTTTTTTTTAAGGGGAGATGCAACAAATTATCTTTACAATTACAAATGGTCGTTTCTGCTATTTGGGAAAGTATTTATGCAGCATTACACACAACTGTCATAAATAATTGCAATAGCAAGGCCAGTCACATCTTCAGGACGTACCTCTCACCTTCTCCCTCCGTGACATTGTACAAACGGACCCATCCCTCCTTTCTGCAGATTTCCTCCTAGAAAACTTTTCCTACTGTAACTGTACTGAATTTAACTCTCGAGCTAAGATCCAGACTAAAATTGTGTATTACTTAACAGTTTCTGCTGGGCCTTCTGCTATTTTAATACTCTTTAGCCCATAATTACTGGGTGTCTCTGTTCTGAAGAACTAAGTGCTAAAGAATAATCCTTGGGGTAAGCTTATACGTGTGTTAACAGTTAACCCCGGCGTATTTAACTTGTATACAGTACTTGATAGGTGTTTTATGACATTTGTACTCGAACTATGAGCCTTACTGA